TAATTAATATTTAATAAAATTAATAATAAAATTATATTATATATATAATAAAATATATTATTATATTATTATATATATAATAATGAAATTATTTAATAAAATTAATAATATTGAAGAAATAATAATTTTTAAAACAAACATACTCTTCTAAAGTATTAGAATTGTTATTTAAGATTTCTTTAACATTATTATACAAATTTTCCAATTTATTTTCTGGTATAATATCATATATGTTATATATATCGTTTACATTAATAGCTTCTCTATTGCATTCTGGCAAAGTTGTATTTGTAATATATTCATTATTTGGCAATTGTGTTGATAATTCCATTCTATCAATTTCAACATCTATAACAAGAACATATTTCAATTCATCTTCTCTTAATAAGATTAATATTAAAATATATGAACATTTATAAAAATAATTCCTCACTAGATACAGTTTCCTCAAGCTGTTTTTTAATAGATTCTACATTTACTTTTAATCTTTCAAATTGTTCTGTTCTTCTTTTCACCTTCTTTGAACCAAATTGTTTGTTCAACATAGCAATCTTTTCATCTTCAGCTTTTTTATTATCCTTAATTGCTGATTTTCCCAAAATTGGAGTCACTTGCCAACGTTCAACTTGGACCAATCTTGCTTTTCCTGTTTTTTTGTTATGAAGTACAAGCATAGTACGCATCAGATCTTGAGTTGTATCTGGTTTATAACCTCTATAAACAATTTGCTGATTTGATAAAGCCAACATTGTTTTCTTTTTATTTTGATCATAAAATAATCCACAAGATATTTTTTTAGCTTCCTCATCTTTGAGTTCTCCATTTTGAAAATTAACTGTAATATAATTATTTTTTTAATATAAAAATATAAGAGCAAATAAACATAATACATAAAAAACAAAACACAAATTACGAAAATTGTTTATATTTTAAAAGTAAATTTAAAAAAACAATTGACAATTTTATAAAATATATATAAATTATATATAACAAATATTACTTTGCAATTTTATAATTTTTTAAAAAGATTTAAACACAACTTCTTTTAAACAATATTATAATTTCTAATAAATATAAATATAATACCAATAATTGGTTGAATTTTAGATGGTTCTATGATAACATCATCAATAATCGCTCGTAATAGTTTCATTTTTCAAAAAATATTATTTCACTTCTTATTATATCAGAAATATGTCATATTTATCTATATCTAAATTTTCAAATATTCTTCAAAATATCGAACAACTCGGAAAATTAATTTTTTTTTCCATTTCTCTTACCGGAAATAAAAATATTGGGTTCAATTTCTATGTAATCTATAAAAAGTAATTTATTTTAGAACATAACTATCATTCATTTTTATTATGACTTACTTTATATTTTCATTGATAACATCTTATAACAGATAATAAAAAGAATAAGAATTTGAATAACAAAATTTTATAAACATTAAAAATTTAAAATTTATTTTATTACATTATTTTATTATTACGCTCCTGATTTGTATCATCTATATGAACTTTCGAGAAGTACGATATACATGAATGTGTCAAATCTTTCAATGATTTATGTTTGATATTTAATTACAAAAATTAATCTAATGGGTAACGAGGAAACTCCAACTGTAGTGAATAATAATGAAGTAAGAAATGTAGTTAAATATTATACAATAAATAAATATATTCATATCAATATTTTATGTAAGATAAAAATTTTCGATTTTTATAGATGCCAATTCCAAAAATAAGGCACGATTGGTATCAAACAGAAAGTCATATTATAGTTCCGATTCTTGCAAAAAGTGCAAAAAATGTTAAAGTTATTTACGAAAAAAATACAGTAAATATTTAATTTAAGATATTTTTATAATATTTTTTTAATAAATATTGTTGTCAATTATATCGACGAAAGCTTTATCTTTTGATTGTTAATTTAATTTTATTTTTTATTTTTTTTTTAGTTGAGTGTATCTGCTCTATTACCATCAGGCAATGAATATAGTTTGGAGTTAGATTTAGCTCATGCAATAATACCAGAAGAATGTTCACATAAAGTAGATCCATCTAAAATAGAAATCAAATTGAAAAAACAAGATGGAATTACATGGACTAGTTTGGAAGGAAATTCTATTGCACAAAAGACAATACAACATATACCAAGAGGTAAAGCAAAGTTTTGTTATATTAAAAATTTTTATATTAAAATAAAATTTTAATTTTTTAAGAAATTTTACAAGCTGGAAATCAACCACAAAAAATTGGAAGTGGAAAGAAGCAACGAGATTGGGATAAAGTAGAAAAAGAGATTGAAAAACAAGAAGCAGAAGAAAATCCAATAGGAGAAGCTGCTTTATATGCTTTATTTCAACAAATATATGGTAGTGGATCTGACGAAGTTAGACGTGCAATGAATAAATCTTTTGTAAGTATTTCTTTTCAAAAAGTATATAATAAATATATTATATTTACTTTAATATTATAATATTTCTAAAAATAGCAAGAGTCTGGTGGTACAGTGCTAAGTACAAATTGGTCAGAAGTGAGCAAAGGTAAAGTTGAGGTAAAATTACCAGATGGTATGGAATGGAAACCTTGGAATACATAAAATAGTTCATGTAATTAAAATTCAAATTGCTTATTATTTAACCCAATTTCATTTTACTTTTAATAAAATCATATATTAAAAATAAAATTAATTAAAACAATTACCTATAAAACACCATGTTATATTTATCCAATTCATTAAATATATAATGTGTATTTTTCTGAAAAAATTGTAATTTTTCTTCTTTATATAAAGAATAAAGAATCAAATATATTAAATATGATTAAATTGTGTAACAAGATTTTTCAGTTAAATACATTTTTCCAGTTAAATGCATGTGTATAATGTATTTCTTATTTTATTGTATATAATTAAATATACATATGTATCGTATATGTATTTATAGAACATTTACAAATAAATAAATGCTTGTTATTAAAAATTATTTCAAATAAAATTATATTATTAATTAATTCATTAATTATTATTAATTATAAAGTGATTTTATCGAGTTAAAGAATTTAATATACATATTCCAATAAATAATCCAAATACAATATAAGCTCTTGCCAATTCTATTGTATTATTATCATCTAATCTATCTTTTTCATTAACCATAGTTACATTTTGTTTATTATTTTCTATTATATTATTACTTTCTATTATTTTATGAAAAGTTGTACTTATATTTCTATTATTATTTTCTATTAATTTATTAAAAGTTGTATTTATATCTTTTTCGAAAGAATGAAAGCTACTTCTCAACAAATTTTCATTTTTTTGCTGTGTTTCATATATAATATTTTGAATATTTGCTATTCTTTTATTATTGTATATCATTGAACCTATCAATGATATAATTGCTAATATAGCAGATGCAAGAATAGATAAATATTTATACTTTTGAGCATTCATTGTTTGACTATCATGATATTCTTTAATAGCAGTGGCCAATAATGTAAAATAATCTTTTTCTTCTTTTTCTAATAAATTAAGTTGCGATATAATTTTTGCTTGATCTTGAAGATTTTTATTTTCTATTATTGTTAATTGAACATATTTTGGATCATCTCTCTTAATTTGTATTAATTCTGAATATACTTCCTTTAATTTGTCATTTATTGTCATTGCTTCACGATTTAAATGTCTTCTTTCATCTTGACATTTGAATAATTTATCTTGTGCAAAAATTACTTGTTCTTTGGCTAATTCAACTTTATCTAAACCTGTTAATTGTTGATACCATTGCCACCATTTGACAACTTTTTTTGGTAATGGACTTGGCTCAAATTGTGTTCCATTTATATTTTGAATTAATGTAATATTACGATTAATTTGCTGAAATAATATTAAGTAACTTATATTTAAATATATATTATAATTTTATAAAAATATGAATAAATAACATACCTTTGCTAGAATATCATACTTTGTAGTAACAGTACTTTGTATATTATTCAACTTTTTTTGTGCTTTTTCAGAAGCATTATTAATTCTCATTGTTGCATTGTTAAATAATTGATGTTTATTTATTTCATTGCTTATTATTTTGATCAATGATCGAAATTTTTCTGCCATTTTGCTTATACATCAGAATTATACAAAATTTACAATAAAAGATTAAATAATTTCATTTTTTATTATTATTATATATTTTATTTGCTAGTTAATTATTATATTTTTAGAATCAACACAAAATGTAAGTTAAATTTAAATAATCTTATAAATTCTTTTAAATATTATAAAAAAAATAATTATTATATTTTATAAATACAAAATTTTTAATTAAATATAAATACAAAATTAATAAAAGTATTCATGTGAAATGTGTAAAGTAATCTGTAAATTAAATATATGAAATTTAAAATTTATATTTAAAAAATTTTATATTATAATTTTATAATTTTATTTATAATTTTCAAAAAAATATTAAAAATTTTTCAATTTTTCTATCCAAAAACAGTCTAAATATATAAAGGCTTGACTTAAGGCTTATTTTCAAAGGTTAGTATGAAAATACAAATTTGTTTAAGAAATTACTCATTTTTTAGGAAATTATAAATTTATAATAAAATTTTGTATTTTCATAATAATTTTCATAATAATTTTATATAATAATTTCATTTGTGAATAAAAGATTTAAAAAAAAAAATGAGAAATGTATAAATATATTTCATGTATTATAATATATTAAAATTTAATAGTTAACCTTAAATTTTTCAATATATAATTGTTAATAATATTTATTATCAATTTATATTTCTAGTATTTCTTTAAGAAATCAAAATATTTACCAATTGTTTAAAAAAAATTTGATGAATGAAAAGAAATTCTTTCATAATGAAAAGAAATGCACGACAAATATCTCGAAAAGTAATTATTTCAAGCGATTCTGAAAATGAATTTGGAAATATTTCAAGCGACGAAAATTATGTACCTGAAAAAATATCCAAAACAATTAAAAAAAGAAAAAAAATAATTATAAAAAATAAAAAAAAAAAAAATGATTTGACAACATATGGTAATGAAAATACAATAATACAACTTGGAAACAAGAAAGTAAAAATAGAACATATAAATATTACAGAATCAACAACTTTAAAAAAGATACAAAATAAGAATATAAAAATAAAAGAAAAAGAAATACAAGATTTCAATACAGAAAATATTAAACAGGTATTAAAAAATACAAATTTTAATTCTATAGAATTTAAAGAATGGACTGATATAGATTATGTTAGTGAAATGAATAATGTTGAAAAACATATAGTAGAAAACATTGTAAAACTTTTTAATAATGACAATACAATTCCATTTATTGCAAGATATAGAAAAGATATGACTGGTGGCATGGAGCCAGATAAGCTACGAGCTTTAAAAGAAAGTTTTGATCATGCCAAAATGATCAAACAACGTGCTAATACTATATTAAAAGCTATTGACAAATTAGGACAATGGTCACCTGATGTACATTTTGCGATTATATCTGCCAAATGCTTGAATGACTTAGAACATATATATTCTTTATTTAAACCATCATCTAAACGAACATTAGCAGAAAAAGCAAAAGATTTAGGTTTGGGACATATAAGTGATCTTCTATTGCAAGGTCAGGAATTACCACCATTGTCTTCTATTATTGATTCTAAAAAAGATGGACTTAAAACTGAACAACAGATTTTAGATGGAATTATACATATTATAGCAGATATTATAAATAAAAATAAAACAATATTTGATAAAGTTAAAGAACTTCAAAATGAATCTATTATAAAAATACAATCTACAGAATGTAAATCCAAAAATAAATCTGTTGATAACAAAGAAAAAAATATGCATAAAAAATATGAAACATATTATGATTTTAATACAAATAATAGATATATTAAACCTCATCAAATATTGGCTATTAATCGTGGAGAAGCACAAAAGATTCTTACAATAAAAATAATTTTACCTGATTTTTTTGAAAGAGAATTTAAAAGTTATTGTTATAAATATTATAGGATAGTCATGATAGTATCAAAATTACATTCTAAATTATTAAATGATAGTATTGATTATGCTTATACAAAATTTATTAAACCATTAGTAATACGACGAGTAAGAAGTGAAATGAAACGAAAAGCAGAGAGAGCATCTATTGAAGTTTTTGTAAATAATGTTAAACAATTACTTCTTACTCCACCTGTACGTGGAAAAATTATACTTGGGATAGATCCAGGATTTTCACATGGTTGCAAACTAGCAGTAATTTCAGAACAGGGAGATGTACTTGAAACAGGTGTAATTTATCCCCATAGAAATATAGAAAAGACTTATAATGAATCTGCTAATATTTTAATAAATTTAGTTATTAAATATAAGGCAACAATTTTAGCATTAGGCAATGCTACAGCTTGCAGAGAAACAGAAATGTTTATAAACAAACTAATAAAGTCTAATTCATTTAAATCATTAGATGTTTCGTATGCAATAGTTGATGAATCAGGAGCATCGATTTATAGTTGTAGTCCAGAAGCAAAATCTGAATTTCCAAAATTAGATATGAATTTAATTTCTGCTATTTCTATAGCGAGACGTTTACAAAATCCACTTGCTGAATTAGTAAAAATAGAACCCAAACATTTGGGTGTAGGAATGTATCAACATGATTTACCAGAGAAACAATTGTTAACATCATTAAATGAGGCAAGTAAAATTTATTAAATTATATTGATTTATATTATTTATTTATAAATTATAAAATTTGATGAATTTTATCAATAAAATTTATAAAACTCAATTTATACAATAACTAAAAAGAATAAAAATTATTAAAGGTTGTTTCAGAAGTTGTAAGCTTTGTAGGAATAGATGTGAATACTGCATCACAATGTCTTTTGAAAAGAGTTGCAGGTTTAAATGCATCTCGAGCAAATAATATTTTAGAATGGAGATCTGAATTTGGCCCATTTAGAAATAGACAACAATTAATGGATGTAAAAGGAATTGGAAGCAAAGTATTTGAACAATGTATTGGATTTATTAGAATATTGCCAGAAACATCAATGATTGATAATTCAAAAAAACTCAGCTCTATTAAAAAATCAAAGCAGGCAATCAAAGCAGAATATAATTTATTAGATCAGACTTGGATTCACCCTGAATCATATGAAATAGCAGAAAATTTTTTAAAGTACTGTAATATTGACTTAAAGAATCTTGGAACTGCAGAGTTTATTGAAAAAGTAAAATTGTATGCCAAAGAAGGATTTACTAGTTTGGCGAAAAAGTTTGGTACAAATAAAACAACTATGGAAGTAATAATTAAGGGTTTATCTATGAAAAAAGATGAGGATATACGATTGAAAACTTGTTCTCCTTTATTTCGAAAAAGTATGTTAGGTATTAATGATATAAATGTGGAAATGCTATTAACGGGTGTAGTACGGAATATTACACATTTCGGAGCATTTGTAGATATTGGAGCGGGTAAAGATGGACTTATACCAATGAAATGGTTAAAAAATTTTACAGTTTTAATAGGTCAGCGTGTGGAAGTAAAGGTTCTTTCAGTAGATTTGCAACGTAATAGAATTAATTTAGAATTAATTAATATTTTATAATATGTTTTTATACATATTGTGTAATTATTTATTTAAATACAGTATAAATGTAAAAATAAATTATATTTTTATATAGAATTTTTATTTTTTTAAATAATAAATTTAATTTAGTAGTTATAATAATTTAGTAATTCCTGAAATTAGATATAAAAAAATGAGACATATGTATATATAAT